ACAAACGACACAATTTACCATTTTTATTTCGAATCAATCTCCAAATGTAGTTGAGAACGGTTCAAGAGCACTCACACTTACAGATTCTTAGTTCACCTGCATGAGGCAAAAAGGTTCGTTGATAAATCTGGAAAGAGCGACTCTCTTAATTGCTCAAAATAGTCTTTGCAGCGCTAAACGGACACTTGCATGGCATTGAAAAGACCGGGACACGCGTAACCTTCTGCAATTGTCTGGGGTTACAAACATCGCCCCTACAGTTTACTTTAGGTTAAAGTTTTAGGTAAAGTTTGCCACTCATGTCCTCAAACATCCTTGCGATGTTCGAGTACAGAAATGCCAAGAAAGCACCACTGTAGTCGAAGTAAACAAATACGACGGCACGAGTGTTTTTGCTGTCTTTAGGGTTCCTCCACAACATTGCCGTAAGAGTAGGTGGATCTTACCTTCTAGGATGTGGTGGGTTATCATTAAGACACAAGACGAGAATTCAGTGAAGGATAGCCCTTTACGTAGGACAATGAATTTCCACCATGCCAACCACGTCGACGATCACCACCGACGCCTTGTTTTTCAGCAGATAGCAGGAACCCCACGACCGGCATGCAGCGCGCGCGGCCGAGCTCACCTCAGCAGACGACGGGGGTTGACAACGCAGGCGCAGTTTGCTCTTTCTCTTGCCTTCGTTTACCACACGACAGATAGCGAATGGCTCCGGGCATTATAAAATTCGGCAATTTCCCTCACATTGATAATTACGCTACAAAAATGTGTCTCAAAATATTCTTTAACAAAGTTTTTGAAAAACATTCGCCGGCTTTTTATTGTTTATAATCGCGGTACTCTAAAGGTAGGCGCGGTGCAGCTTTACCAAAGAACGTCGCCAATAGGCGACGTGGCTTTGGCGACGTGCTACGGCACCGCGGATGCATCGCAGTGAAAGGGCAGAGAGTTTGCTCAATGCTGCACTGTGCCGCCATGATCTTCCCAAGGGCTACACATTGCATGTGCCTCATGCATCGACGCACCTTGCGCAACTTTTAAAACGTTAACAGACCTTAGGGCCAAGGAGACGCCACTCTCTTAATGGGAGTTCACGGGCTCGACAGGAGTGCACCGCCGAATGGAAACTTTTCCTACCTATTGTGGCTCGTACGCAAGTAGCGAGGTCAACAACGTTTATTGCATGCACCGTGAGGCATTATATACAGTATGTCCTAGCGGCACAGCTGCCGTACCGATGACAAGGCTGGTTTTGTATCAGCTAGTGACGCTGTGCTACATCTTCCATTTTTCAAACAAAATAAAATTTAACCGAGAAGAAAAATATACAAACAAATGAAGGAATAGAAGACATTACGCTTGTATGATCGCGGTTAAGGTTCTGGTCTTGGATATCTGACGGGATTCCGCCACTGTCTTGAACTCCTCCTGAGCTCCTGGGTTGGAAGGTCTTGTGATGGTGGTGCTCCCGTTGAGGGTTCTTCCCTGACCTAGCGCCCAGTGGATTCAGCAGCCGCAGTGGTGACCGGTTGCTGTTGCCGCGGCGGCAATTCAGAAGCCACCGTGGTGATGAGGTGCGGCTGCCGAGGTGGCAACCCGCGCAGGTGCTCTCTCGTTTAGCGTAGCACACACCCGTCATCGGTTTTGATCACAAAGGAGCGAAGAGGCCCCGCACGCCTAATGACGACTGCTGGAGCCCACGTGCGTGAAATGGTGTCAAATTTAGACACCTGCTGACCATCTTGTAGTTCCGGAAGCGTCTTTGTTCTGTTGTAGAAGGTCGGCTGCATGCTGCGGATCTTTTGTAGTCGTCTGTGCACCTGCTTTGGCGGTACGATGGCAGGTTCCAGGCAGCAGTTCGGAACCGGAAGCAGTGAGCGTGTCTGACGACCCATTAGCCTCTGTACTGGTGACTTGAGCAGGTTATCCTTTGGGCTGTTGCGCCATTCCAGAAGGCCGCTGCAGAAGTCAAGGGTGTTGTAGGTGCACCGCGTCAGCAGTTTCTTTGCCTCTTGTACGGCTCGCTCACCATTCCGTTGGAGCCAGGGTGGTTAGGACTTGACACGACGTGAATTATTCGAATCTTACTCACAAAGTTCTTGAAGTTGTAACTATCGAAGGGGGCCCGTTGTCACTGCACAATTTGGCTGGTATTCTATGAGTAGCGAAGACTTCTGAACAGGCGGATACCACGGAAGCTGCCGTGGACTGTTGCAGTTCCTTTATCTCGAAAAAGAAAGAGTAGAAGTCAACAATTATCAAAAAAGTCCGATTGTTGTGGTAGAACAAGTCTAGCCCCACCAGCTGCCACGGTAGGTTGGGTAGTTCATGGCTCAGTAATGGTAATCTTGCGTTTCTGGGCTTATGCTTTGTGCAGACCTCAAATGACTTTGCAAGAGCTTCAATGTCTCATGACATGGTCGGCCAATACATCACTTCTCTGGCACGCATCTTAATTTGTGCTTCACCTCATGTGCAACATGCAAAAGTCTCAAAACCTCTGTCCTCTTGGCCTTTGGAATTACCACTTCGTTACTCCTGAAGACCAGCCCATCTTCTACGTGCATCTCGTCTCTGTAGTTCCAGTACGTTCGAAGTTCTTCCGGGACGTCTCGTTTCTCAGCTGGCCAGGATGCTGATGCATATTCTCGGAGCTAGATGAAAGCCGCGTCGTTTTCTGTCGCCTGGAGGATGTCGTGCAGCCGTGCATCTGAGACTGATAGCGTGGAAAGGATGTTTACTTAAACCTGGGCGTTTTTGTCTTTTAGCACAGTTTTAGTTGGGAATCTTGACAACGCCTCCGCAGAAAACGTTCCTTCCCTCACTTGTACTGCACGGTAATGGGGCACCGCTAAAGTACTAGCCTCATTCTTTGTAGGCGGAGCGGGCAGTCCCAGAGGGGTTTCCTGAATAGTGCTTCCAGTGGCTTATGATCCGATTCCACAGTCACAGATGAGTGCCCTAAAATATAATCTTTAAACTTGCTGCATCCGTGTACTATAGCGAGCGCCTCTTTTTTAATTTGGGCGTATTTTCGTTGAGTCTCGGTGAGGGATTGTGATGAGTAGGCAATGCATGGGATGTCCGTTCTGAATAATCACCGCCCCGACGCCGGTTTCGCTGGCATCCACTGACAACGTGACTGGTTTACCTTTCTCAAAATACGCAAGTACCGGCGCCTTTATAAGTGACTCTCTGAGCGTTTTAACACTGCTTCGTTGGAACTCAGTCTAAACCCAAGCGGTATTTTTTTTTTCGACAGCTCGGGTAATGGTGCTGAGAGAGCAGACATATTTGGTATGAATCTTGCGACAAAGTTCGTCATGCCAAGAAATATTTGTAATTCTTTACAGTCTTTGGGCTCCGGAACAGCGAGGATGTCCTCAGCTCGTTCTGGGTCTAGGCTCAGACCTTCAGTCGCCAAATTGTGGCCTAGGTACCGTACGTGCATTGCGTGCTGGAATACTTCTGGGGCTGTGGAGATCCCGAACGGCAAGTGCAGAAACCTGTATCTTCCATAAGGAGTGCTCATGATAAAGATGTGCGAACTTGCTTCTGACAACTGTATTTGCCAGAAGCCCGATGACGCATCCAATGTCGAAAAAAACTTGGCGCCGTGCAGATGTAGAGCTACATCATCTAGCGACGGCATGGGATAATGTTCGCGTAATAGACGTTTGTTAAGATCAGATGGGTCCAAGCAAATTCTGACCTTATCTTTTTTTACGACGACCACCATGTGACTCGACCATTCCGTTGGTTCGCTTACCTTCGTGACGACTTGATCCTCTTCCATGCGGTCCAACTCTGCCTTGACTCTATCCTGGAGGGCCATAGGTATTCGTCTTGCTGCCTTGACGGTGTCCTTGAATCCTGGTTGTAGCTTCATATCGTAGAACACACTCTTCAGCTAGCCGAGCCCTTGAAAAATTGCTTCAAAAGGTTGTGCTGCGCCGTATAGCTCTGCGGTGCTCACACCTGCAACGCGATTAATCAGTCCGAGGCGTTCTGCAACACTGCCACTCAAGGTGGCTGGAACCTCTTGGCGTACAACAAAAAAAACCAGCGTCACATTTCTTATCTTGATTACGTAGATCGAGGCAAATTCTTTCTGGTGCATTTTCTGCATGACCGAAAAACGTGTTCAGGGTGATGTTGCACTTTACTGTTGGCTTCGTCGTAACTTTGCCTAGTGTGGCCCTGGAGAGGACACAACAATTGGCTCCGGTATCTATTTTGCAATGAACGGGAACGTTTCCTAGTATCACCGCAGCCGTCTATGGATCCTCGCGAGATACAGCACCAGCAGTAAGTGCTTTCGAGAAGTATGTCTCGCCATCGCTAGCCACAACCTCGCTTTCTTGCTGTACGGGGGCCCTTTTTCGCTTTGACTTGCAAAACGTTCGCGAAGTGATTAAGGCTTACGCACTTGTTACATTTCTTTCCGGATGCGGGGCAAACTTTAGTTCTGTGCTTCTTAAACCCACACTTTGGCACGATGATCTGATTTCTTGCACTAAGCGGATTTTTTTTTTTCGCGTTCCTTTGCTCCGCTTTGTATTGTATTGCATCGTTCTCCGCCTTGTTCCCAGGCTCTGCATCTTTCCAGTGCTTCGGTATATGACGGGTTGTCGGAGATGAGGTTTTGCTGAAGTTTCTTGTCCCGAACGCCCAGAATGATTCTACTTCTAAGAAGACGTTCTTCGACATCCCCTATCTCGCAGTTGTTAGCCAAAATACAAATGTCAGTTAACCATTCGTTGAAAGGTTTCCCTTCTTTATGGTCCCTCGTACCAAACACAAACTCGTTGTAACGAGCTATCAAACTGCTCAATGATAGTTGTCACGTCTTGTCTCTCCTCTGAGTTTACAAACGTAAACGCACTGAACGACTTCCTTGCATCTTCCCCTATTATCATTAACAGGGTCACCGCCTGGACTTCTTTCGGTTGATGGCTGAGCAGGGTGGCCGTAGAAAACAGTTGAAACTCACAATTCTAAGTTGTCCAGTTCCACCACAGGTCTCCCGACGTGTCCAGGGGTTTCGGGGGCTGTAGCAGCGTTGTAAAGGGCAGCACGATGGCCTGTTGCGGAGACGCCATCTCTCGGGTGGTGTGGCTGTCGCCTACTTTCTGTCGCTCGGTGGCTGCTTCATCGAACCGCGGCACTCGGGCGATAAAGTACTTCTGGCACCATGTGGCTGGTACGCAAGTAGCGAGGTTAACAACGCTTATTGCACGCGCCGTGAGGCCTTATATACAGTATGCCCTAGCGGCGCTGCTGCCGTGCCGATGACAAGGCTGATTTGGTATCAGCTAGTGACGCTGTGCTACACCTATGTCCCCCTTCCCCCAATGAGGTCATGGCGCCACCCTTTTGAAAATAGAGTTAATCATCATCATCATCATGACAGAATGCAATTGTAACACTGTCAATGCCAAGAGTTCGTGCGGGGAGACGCGCCGTCACGCACCCCGGAACAAAAAAGAAAACGAAAGCGTTCGAAACAAACTGTTCCGATGTCTATGCCGAGTGCAAGTTCGTCTGCTTCTTGCACAGGGGGTTGTGGTGACGCCAGAACAACGCCGAGCTCTGACTGGCTCTGATCGAGGGACAGTGCGTAGACCTGAAGATACCTCGAACTAGAGTTCCTATCTCGAACAAGGCAGACGCGCGGAGCCCGTTCGAATCACTCAACGAACAGTTGCTAACCCCGCAATGCCGCCATTTTTAATTTTGAGTCACTACCGCCAGACCTGTGCGCAACAAAGCGATCCTTTCTTTCATAATATGACAATTAATTACAATAATACGAATAACGGCCATGACTCAGCCTCCATTGCGCGCTGACACGTCGGTTCACGTGGTGTCAAGCGAGGTGCCTAACCTGTTTTTCAGAACGCGTGTCAAATCACTCCTGCAGGACGTAAGTATCGCAAAGAAAAAAAAATGGTTTCTGCTTAAGGCCCCATTTAGAAAAGTAAATAACGTTTGCTATATAAATAGGCTCATAACTACCTGTGAGTAGTTAACTTCTAATTAGTAAATTCAAAGGATGTGGTTTCAATTTAAAACCTTTTGCAGCATTATCGAAAATCACCATATCAACGCACTTTTCAAAATATATGGCACAGAACAAATTTTACGAAGTTCTGAAAAACTTTTAGCCCTTCCACTCTGGTAAAAAGGAACAGCAGCGGAGCTGTACTATGTGCCACCGTCTATGACCAACAGCGGCAACCAGACGACCGGCAATCTGGTTGTCTGGTTTCCACCGTCGCTTATAGATGGCGGTAGCTGTTCAGAGGGTTATGTAGAGTTTTATTTGTCCACAGACACAAAACTCGGAAAACTAACCCTTAAAAACTCCGCTGTAAAAAAAAAAAAATTGACAAAATTTGGACGCGTTTTGAAGTTTCCGTTTTCTATCAGAGCGCATCTCCGCGCGAGTGCAATTCCTGCTCCGCCGTGGCCGAAGGGTGCAACTAACATGCCGCCACGCATTCTTTCTCGTGATGGAGGTAAACCCGAGGATCAAAGCTTATTCTTAAATTGCCACGCGAACACCACATCGTTCGTTCCGCCGGCTCGCGCTATACTTTCTTTTCTTCTGCGAGGCAAGGGAGACGGTAGTTGCTTGCCTTGGAAACAGATATGCAGGACTCCTAGCGCAAAGATGCGCTCCGATGGGAAACCAGAACTTAGAGACGCGTCCGATTCAAGTGTTTCGTCGGAACGCCAAAAAATTTTCCGAGTGCCACAAACTTTTTTGCGAAGTGCGCCGATAGAGTCGTTTTCGGTTATGCCGAGGAAGTATCTGATAAAGACTATATATTTCAGTGTACTGATTAAAAACTGAATTAGTCAAAATTAATTCAAGCCCTGATTATGTTTAATGTTATTCTAAAAAGGCCCTTTGGTGAAAGCCAATGCGACATCAATTAGTTTTCAATGGAATTGGTAATTTTTACAGGGTCAAATTCACGCGCGTTTCGAGGAACACCTAATATAAATATACAGGGTGTATATTTTTAAGCTTAATAGATTTGTTAAAAAAAATCCTTGAACGTTACACACATGCAGTTTGCGCAGGTGAGTTGTACGGTCAGGGCGACATAATAAAGGGGGCAAATCATTACGGTAAGTTAAATTATCTAAAATTTTGTTAATTAACTTTCTTATTCGTCAAAATAGACATACGGTTCAGTTCGGAACACTAAACCATAAACTAATAAATCAACAAATCAATACATTTTATAAATTTGAGTGCCTGGGAGGCGCCCCGAACGAAAACGTGAGATACTGGACGGAAATAAAAATGACGGTTCCGCCTGGATCTGAAATTGATGTACAACTTTTTATCCAGCGTGGAACCGCGCAGTTCCAGTGGGATAAAAAGTGGTGCGCCAATTTTAGATCCAGGCGGAACCGGCTGGCTTCCAGCAGTTCTGTAGAGCCACTGGTTCCGCGCATACCGACTGAGATACAAACCGGTGCCCCAATTTCAGATCCAGGCGGTGCCCTCCGGGAATTCCTGCCGCGCTCACCATTTGGACTGACTCTACGAAAATCGTCGCGACTTTATACCCAGGTGGAACAGCCTGGGTCTGAAATCGGTACGACCTCTTGTTTGTAACGGCTAAGGGCATCGCGAGGAATACTTTCTTAGTGTCCAGTGGTGAGCGCAGCGGGAATTCCGGCGGCGCACATGGTCGTCCAGGCGTCGTCACAGAACACGGTGCACTGAACACACACACAGCACGCAGAAGCACAGTATTTTGTGTTCAGTGCATCAGGTAGTTCCGGCGGGCAAGGGCTATCCGAGTTCTCCAAGTATTGTCACCAAGCACACCAGCGCCAAGTGCATCTAGATGCCGAGCCAAAGTGAAATTGGTCGGCAACTTCATATACGATATTTATAATGCAATTAAATGCAAAGGGGCAAGCGAGCTGGACAATAATTATGAAAATAATCCCTGGAGAAGGGGAACAAGAGGGACAAGGGACAAACATAAATCTCCAAACACAGCTAGGTGACTGGTGAGCGACCGAAAAAATCCGTTTGGTCCGGGTATCGAACCCGGGACCTCTCCATTACAAGTGGAGCGCTCTACCAACTGAGCTAACCAGGGGTTAGACGTCAGTAGAGCAAACGGGTTTTATCAGCTGCCACCAGTTGGTAGAGCGCTCCACTTTTAATGGAGAGATCCCGGGTTCGATACCCGGACCAGGCGGATTTTTTCGGTCGCTCACCAGTCACCTAGCTGTGTTTGGAGATTTATGTTTGTCCCTTGTCCCTCTTGTTCCCCTTCTCCAGGGATTATTTTCATAATTATTGTCCAGCTCGCTTGCCCCTTTGCATTTAATTGCATTATAATTATAACATTAAATTGCAAGCTTCACCCTTGTTGGTGTTAGACTGGTGGCAGCTGATAAAACCCGTTTGCTCTACTGACGTCTAACCCCTGGTTAGCTCAGTTGGTAGAGCGCTCCACTTGTAATGGAGAGGTCCCGGGTTCGATACCCGGACCAGGCGGATTTTTTCGGTCGCTCACCAGTCACCTAGCTGTGTTTGGAGATTTATGTTTGTCCCTTGTCCCTCTTGTTCCCCTTCTCCAGGGATTATTTTCATATATACGATATGAAGCTTCAAAGCCGAGGTCAGTGGGTATCCATCCAGGGAAACGATGGGCGCGTCAGTATCCGTACGCCAGCAGCGCGAACGTCGCTGTGAGAGACCGCGGGGAAGAGAGCGAAAGTTCCCCGTACGAAAATGTCAGATCGGAGCGGTTCCAGTTCGGATCCGCGGGATTCTAAACTTGTGGACAGTTCCGATACGCGCGATGCTGGGTGTAACCAGTTGAATCCAGGGAGACGGAACGCACTGGAATCGCACGGTGTTCGCTGGATCCAATCCGCTCTTCTTGTTCAAATAGAGTCTGCACATGTGTGACTGCAGGAGGGGAGGGAAGGGTAGGGTGGGGGGTGGCGGGGAATTTCCGCGGCTTCTCGCAGGTCACGTGTTAGGGACAGGCGTATCCGCTACGCAGGCGCTGCGAGCGGGCGTTCTCCGCACGCGCGCCTCGCTTTGTCTATTGTCTGTTGCAGTCGGCGGAAGCTCTCCAATCGACAGTTTAGTCAGTTCAGTTTCTTCGCTCTCTTCTGGCTGTCGGTCGGCGTTCGCCCGGTGGCGACGTTCGCGCTGAGGGCGCACGGATACTGACGCTCCCATCGTTTCCCTGGATGGACACCCACTGACCTCGGCTTTGAATCTTTATATAGTGTGAGGCTGCCGACGTAGGGTGCCTCGGTGTCCTTCTCTTTAGGGTGATGCCACCCTTTGTAGTACCCGATGCTGACAGGGCGCGCTCACGGGTGAAATAAAAAAAAAATCGACGAAATCAAAATGTAACCATAGCACAGCTAGCGCCACAAACGCGTGCAGGGTCCGCTCTTTCATGCGCTTCTAAACAAAAAGGAAAAATAAACGTGTGGGACAAAATGGCCAGATGTCTCCACCCTAAGCAAAGCGCACATGAAGGCACCCTATGCCGACCCATTGAACTTTGGCTTGGCATCTGGATGCGCCTGGCGCTGGTGTGCTTGGTGACAATACTTGGACAAATCGGATACCGCTTGCCCGCCGGAACTTCCCGATGCACTCAACACTGGATACTGTGCTTGTGCGTGCTGTGTGTGTGTTCCGTGCACCGTGTTTGGTGACGACGCGCGCCTTGCATTGTCTGTTGCAGTCGGCTGCCGCGCTTCGAGAGTTTAGGTTCTTCTCCGCTCCCGTCGGACTGTCGGTCGCCGCTCACCCGGCGGCGACGTGCGCGCTGCGGGCGCACGGATACTGACGCACCTATTGTTACCCTGGATGGATACCCACTGACCTCGGCTTTGAATATTTATACACTGTGAACCTGCCGACCCATTGCAGTTTGGCTCGGCATCTGGATGCGCTGGTGTGCTTGGTGACAATTCTTGGACAACTCGGATACCGCTTGCCCGCCGGAACTTCCCGATGCACTCAACACTGGATACTGTGCTTGTGCGTGCTGTGTGTGTGTTCCGTGCACCGTGTTTGGTGACGACGCGCGCCTTGCATTGTCTGTTGCAGTCGGCTGCCGCGCTTCGAGAGTTTAGGTTCTTCTCCGCTCCCGTCGGACTGTCGGTCGCCGCTCACCCGGCGGCGACGTG